TCCCTCTCAATAAATAACAATCTTAAAGATAACAACAAAATCCTTGCTCTCAACGGATTTTTTTTTTGCATCCATTTCAATTCAGACAAAGATATCTTGATTCAACAATAATTGACGCTTAGAAGAATCCTTCGATGAATGTCTTGTTTGAAACATGGAAAAGAGAGTGACCATAAGAATCTTCAGCCAAATGAATCTTAGTTGATAATTGAAAGTGCATTCGAACAAAACTTAGGATGATACTACTTTAAAGATCTTATAAAGAATGACGTCACACACTTCAATAATCAAACCATGCGCCAGTACCAATAGATAAGAAAACTGTGTTTCATTCCAAAATAGTTGCAGGTTCTAGATCCTTTGGTGAAACAGAGAATCAACTTAAGGTGTTACGAGGCCTGAGAAGCCTTAGTAGCTTAGGATGATTGAAAATCCCAGAAGTATGGAGGGACATTTTTTTGACTGAAAGAAGAGGGAATATTTTGGGGTACAATAATAAGTATCATTAAAAATATATTCAATTAGGTCTTCACTTGAATGCGCTTCCACTATTTTACTCAAAACAAATGATCCTCAACATTTCGAATAAAAATTCCTGTTGGAAGACTTTCTAAGAGAATGAGATCCATATTTCACTTTGAGGTAAGTAAGTGGTAGGTAGATTACACAAGACTCTGTTATTTAGGTAGGAACTCCTTTCAATTTTATCTAATATAACTCTCTAATTTTATTATTTGGGTGAAATACTCCTTATTCTAACCCAACATATGGGTTATTCTCAACTCATGCTTCTAAATATATATTCTTATTCTAATTAGTTTAGTTAAGTTAAACCCAAAGTTTAGTAATTGATTATTACATTTATGTCATTGCACACGAGTGATATAGAATATGCACCTCGAGGTGCGGAAAATCAACATTATTTGATTCTAGTATTGATGAATGCTAAATATTGGAAAGCTTAAAAATAACATTTATTTTGATGGAATTTGCACATCGGTTATGGGTTGGATAAACGTTAGTTGTCAGATTTTTTCAATCTCTTGAATGACTTTTCATGCATGATGTTGTGTTTTTTTGGAAGACAGGACAACTTTTTCCATTTTCAACGTGAGCTGCATAAATACAATTACAGTGAAAAACATAAAGACATTGGCTTACTAATGGAAAAAATAAAAACCATTCGTCCATCCCACTATAAGAGTCAGGCATATGCAATTGATATGCAACCATAAAAAAATATTTGCATACCAGTAAGTTTTACGCTTGCAATTTTTTCGTTTTCATACTGAATATCCTTCGATTCATGCATTTCGTTTCACCTACAACTTATAACTCGATTTTTTTTCTTCTTTTATTTTTAGTTCGATTATTTATGTTAATTTAGTTGTTTGCATATTATTTTTCATTGTTTCCTGTTTTTATTGAAATTGTTTCATGTCCATCCTTTTCCAAAGTATCTCATGTTATTGATGATTTTGTTATAGGCAATCCAAAATGTCTCGAAGATTCGATAAAAAGTAGCAACCCTAAACAATTTCCACTATCAGAATCAGAATCGTTGGCTGCATCCATTTGAAAAAGGATATGCTTTGTTTATACAATTAGGTTTTAATTTTAATTATGTATATGCAAACAAAATCATTTTTGTTATTTCTGTCTTTATTCTTATTTGCAACTTATAAATTATATTTGAGCTTTAAATCCTACATGTTCTCTGTATCCTTTACTCTTTCCTTAAATTATCCATACTTTTTGGTTTGCAACACAAAATGTTTATGATATGTTCTCTACTTTTAATAATAATTTATTTTACAACTATTTATTTTCAACCATTGTGTTTTGTTCTAGGTTTTTCTGGGTTTTACTTATCTTCTTCACTGTGATCTGAAATAATCCCCATTGTGTATTTTATGTTTTGAAGCTTTTTAGATATTTTTCTTCTCATTATGTTTTGATTTCTCATTATGTTTTTATTTTAACAAACAAATCCAGAAGTTTAACAATTTGGTTTTAGGGACCAAAACTACAAGTTTAACAATCCGACTTTGTTGTTACGGGAAAATTGGAGTTGCTTTATTGCTTTATGGATGAAATTGGTGTTATTGTTATAAGAATACATTTGCTTTATTTGTTTCAAATGGATGTTAGATTAAATTTGAATTGCTTCAAATTTGAATTTCTATTATTTTTATAAGAATACTATTAATTTTGTTATAGAGAAACGAATGTAGTTTATGGCTTTATTATTTCATGAAAGTGATGCTTCTATGAGAATGATTTCATGGCTTTATTACGAGAATGGTTGCATTAGTTTGTGGCTTTATGGCTTTAGAAGAATGGTTTCATTACTTTGTGGCCTTATCTTTGATTCTGTTACTGTTATGAGAATTGATTTATTGTTGTTGGTGCATCAAAGCTACATAAATAATTTAGGTTTTATGAGAATTGTTCTATAGAAAAGTATGGTTCTTATTGCATCAAGTGTAGATATATCATTTAGAGGTTCTTTTTTGTACAGAAAAATATGAATCAGATAAAATTGTTGTTGACATTCTATTATGTTAAATTGATTATTTTTCAAGAGAAAAGCGTGTGAAATTAAAAACAACAAATAGATGAGGAAATTGCTTTTAGGTTCATTCAACAAAAGATATGTTAGATAGTAATAAGCGTAATAGTGGTAAGTTAGGATTTTGGAAATATAAATTAATAAAAAATAAAGTAATAAATGTAAAATAACGTTAATGATACCTATTTTCATAGGTTATAAAGTACCGATCTTTTCACATTCTTAATCATGTCTGTCCCAACGCAGTTTAGAATGTGTATCATTCATCATTTATTTTTGTTGTTGTTAGTCTTATCTTATTTTTCTTTTGGATTTGTATTATATTGTATATTTCTATAGATAGTTAAAAATTTCATTTGTTATTTATTTATTATATAGAAATTAGTTTTTGTTTCTACACAAATTATATATTTGATGTCACTCATTTTAACTTTAATTTTTGTTTCTCTTTTTATATGAGATTTGAAAAACAAACTTGATAAATAAATTGAGTTTTATTTCAGGAGGATCACTTTGCAATCACATTTTGGTTAAGAATAAATATATATGGTTCTTTTTTTGGACATATATGTGTTAATCAATTTATCTAGATTAATTATCTACAAAAGCAGAGTATCGTGCAATGGCTTCTACCACCGCTGAAAATAGTTTGGCTGCGTCAGTTACTCTCTGATATGTGCGTCTTACTTTCTTGACCGACTCCTATGTATTGTGATAATAAGAGTGCCATTCAAATTGCTCAAAACTCAATATATCATGGTACAAAACACATCGAGATTGATTGTCATCTCACTCTTCATCACTTTCAGCATGGCACCATTACTTTGCCGTTTGTTTTTTCAACTTCACATGTTGCTGATTTATTCACAAAAACTCATTCCATCGAACGTTTTTCCTTTCTTGGTTGACAAACTCTCAATGTTTCATGAATCATGAGTTTGAAGGGAGATTTTAGATAATGAGAAATGTGATTTTATAATAATTGGGCTAAGAGTATTATAGTCTATTTATACTTTACAAAATATTAACTTAGCAAGCCTTGTATTTGATACTTTTTGCCATTCTAATGGAAACCCTAGCCGCTTTCTCCTTTTCACTATTCATAATATTTACAATCACAACTCACCTCTTTCATGGAGACGAGAAAGATCTAAAATATATTTGTATAATACTTATGAGTGTAACTTTTACAATAATACACGAGTTATATTTATAGGATATAAATATTACAATTTAAAAGCATAATATAAACCTAGAAATTTTTGTTAAATGAACATCTAGAAATACATTCATAGTAAAATTACATACAATAATAAATGATTATTTAACACTTTACAATTGAATACACAAGAAAAACATAAATAAATAAAAGAATAAGTTTAATAATGAAGTTGAAAACTAAACACAACATTTAATTAATAGCAATAGCAATTGATTGTTTGCGATGAAGAAAGAATTTGTAAAATTAGTTGGGAGCACTGCAAATACTTCTTATGATTCCGGCAGATCCAGTTAATGGTTGAATATCTCCCATCTTGATCATAGCAGCAGCAAAATCAGACTTGAAAGCTGTAGGATTTTGGCTGTATTGAGAAACGATAGAATCCGTAGATCCTCCGCTGAAAAGAACTTGGTCAGATTGTAGAAGACCCTTCTTTTGAATTAAATTCTTAAAGTAGTTGTTGTCAAAAGAATTTGGTGTAACCAAGTCCAGTGCTGCTAACTTTTGATTGTTTGAAGTGGAACTGGTAGACGGACAACCACGTTGGCGAGTGCTAGCGAATCCAGCATCTATGTCACTAGCATTGTTGTATATCCTATCACGAAATGTAAAGCATTGAGCTTGTCCGATTGTGTGCGCACCTAATTTAAAATCAAATGGTCGTTCAATATTAATTTTTCATATAAGTAAATGTTTGGTGAAATATAAAAATATGCATGTTTGAAACAAATGAAATTTACCAGATAGAGTAACCATGTCTTTGGCGGTAAGATCTTTAATTGTAAATTTAGATATAAGAGTTTGAAGATCGTCCGTAAATAATGGAAGGTGAGTATTGGCCAAAGTTTTACTTGCTGTAGTAGAGTCTCTTCGTCCAAGTTTGACAGTCCATGATGGACCACCTACCTGTTTGTAAATATCAAATTATTAATATACACATCAAAATACTAGTATATTAAGCATGATATGCAAATTGTAAACTTACATCAAAAGGATGTAATATTAAGCATGCAATGCAAATCAAAAGGATGTAATATTAAGCATGCAATGCAAATCAAAAGGATGTAATATTAAGCATGCAATGCAAATCAAAAGGATGTAATATTAAGCATGCAATGCAAATCAAAAGGATGTAATATTAAGCATGCAATGCAAATCAAAAGGATGTAATATTAAGCATGCAATGCAAATCAAAAGGATGTAATATTAAGCATGCAATGCAAATTGTAAACTTACAGCGAATGATGCATCACGTGCTGCTACAGCTACTATGTCTGCACAAGACACAACTCCTGGACATACTTTTTCTACCTGTGATTTTGCATTATCAATGACTTGAAATCCCCTTACTGAGTTAAGATTTGGAAGTGCAGTCTTTTCGCTCTCGATTGTGGTACTGTCATTCAGCAAAATTGATGCATCACAGCCTTGCACAAAGCAGTCATGAAAATGAAGGCGAATGAGAGATGCAGCCATGCGACGCTCTTTAGAGACAGCAGTACGAATGGCAGTTCTAATGGTGGTTAGTGCATCGGGGCATGTAGTGTCGTAAAATGTAGAAGACAACTGTGCATCACATATTGTGGATAGCAGCACTAATGTAACAACAAAACTAGTAGTGATCATTCTATAAGCCATGTAACTTAAGTGTTGATGATTGAACTTGATGTGAAATGAAGAGACGATATCATGCATATATATATATATAGTTTGTTGTGTATGGTCACTCATGTCCGCGGCTTGCTAATTCGCTCCTCAACATTTTCCTTATTCACAATTCTGACCAATTCTCCTTTGGTTGGTTGGTTCACAAATACTATTTAATACTAACTACTTCATCACATCCATGCCATCTCTACGTGAATAAACACTTTTCAATATTTTCCTTTGAATAATATTATTTATTATTTATAACAATGCAAGAGTCAAAATCTATTATTTATTATAACAATTGACAAGTTCCATTTTCTTATTTGATTCATTCTCTCACATTTCACATTTATATTTATAGAAAAGTATTTCATGACAACCACATAACATCTTGAGACGGATTTTTTTTATATATTTTATTTTTGAGAATGTGATGTAATATGTAACACTCTTTTTTTATTTTTTTATTTGTGGGACTAATTTTTTCTTTCTAAAGTGGACTAGTGTATTTTTTAGAGACTATGTTAAATACTCATTTTATAAAATGTGATGATTATTAGGTAAACAAGTTAAAATTGCAGATTAATATGGTTTATAGAAATTATGAGAAAGTTTTGTGTTAACGATTTCTCAGACCAAATATTATTATTGGTTTGATACTATTATGGGTAAAAATTCGTTAAAGATGGACACACTTTTTGTAATTTAAATACTCTTTTGGTCTCATTTATTTTATAAGTGAGCACCATGAATTCTAAATTAGATATCAAAGAGTTTACTAGGGACAACAATTTTGAATTGTGGAAAGAGATGATGCAAGTAATCTTAATTCAACAGAACTGTGTTGAACCATTGGAGGATGAGGCATCAATGGATGCAAATCTAACACGAGCAGATGACTGTTGCTTAAATATGGGCAAAGATTCAACCATTGCATATGACCAAATCTTTGGCTAACATGTTGTGTGTGTGACAACAACTTTCCTCATTTTGAATGGTAGTGAAAAAAATCCATGGTCGGGAAATTGACTAAATTTCGAAAGATTATTGATGATCTGCAGAGTATTTAGTTGAAAATTGATGGCGAAGACAAGAATACACTCTTGTTAGAATAAGAATTATTAATTTAGGTGAAGCCCATACGAATGTGAGACCCACGTATCTTTAATTGATAAAATATTTGAAGGTTGATAATAGTGGTAAAAACGTAAGTGTCTCAAGAGGAGGGAGTGGGAGAAGAGGAATGTCCAAATTTAAGAGTTTTGACAAGTCATGGTTAAATTTTTTTTATTTTCGATAAACTACTCACTTCACAAATACAATTTTTATTGACTTTGTTGAGTACTTATATTTATAAATACGATGGTTAGCTAAACACGTTAAAATTGAAGAATAGAATGGTTTATAACAATAAGAAGAATGAATATATGAAATAAATAGAAGAATTCATGCACTTCATACCCAATTAAGGTAAATGAAGGTGAAGTTCAAAACACCACCACGACAATGTCGAGACCTTTTCTCAGTCTATTAGACAACCTCGAGATGAACATCCCAGCAATCCATATTCCTTACATATTTAAAAGTAGAGAAAGGGGTCAATTGGAGACACATTTGGCTATGAATGTTCTCAGAAGCCAATATGCAGAAAGCATTAATGAAAGCACATAATATAGTTGAAAACATTATAGAAATATACACAAATTGAGATTGAGACAAAGACATTGTCATAACTCCTAAGTATTAGATTCATATTTAAAAAAAAAGGATTTGGAACAAACTGCACAGTCGAAGAAGACAAAATTAACACGCACAAAATAAGAAAATTTAGAAATAAATCAACTAAAATAAGATGCCCGTCTACAACAGATTTCTCCATACGTCTGCTCCGTTAGTAAAAAAAAAGAATTCTAGGGTTGAGTAAGATGACCTTCTCTAGAGTGTTGTCAAAGGCCTCCTTAGTAGCAACAAGTAGATCATTAACAACTTGGGCACCTATTTTTCACCGAGATGTATAGTGGTTCGGGTCAATCATCTTCGCAGGAGCCTACTCTACTCTCCAATGATTTTCCTTTGAAAGATTTTCTTCCAATATGTTTTGACAAATATTATTCGAGTTCATACAATCAACATTCCACAATAATTCCGAGTTACATAAATATCCTATCTGGATCTTGAGTTGTATACAACATAATTTCAAATTCTTCTACAAAATATTTACATGATTCTCGCTTCTTGAATCTTCCAGCTTCACCAATCTTCTCCAAGTCTCTGTGAGTGAAAATCACTTATGAACCTACTGATTTCTTGAGCGATGAACTTTCCAAAGATTTAGAAGAACTCATACCTTGTCTATAGGCTTCTACACCGCAGTACCAAGGTTAACCTGGAGAGAAGAACCTCATTTTTTTCAATGGAATTCGTCACTACAACAACTACAATCTTTCAAGCTTCCTGAAAACATTTATAAAACCTTCAAGAACGCTTAGTTTCAATAATTACAAATCTTCATAATCAAGATCTGAAATCTAGCTAGAGGTGTGTGTGTGTGTGTGTGCCTATGTGTGTGTGTGTGTGATACACCATATATTAATTTTTTTTATACATTTAACAACTACTACAAAATAATAAACTACATTAATATATTATTGAATATTTATTTAATATTTTGTTGACTTTGCTCGACCCGTGCAAACGCACGAGTCTCTTACTAGTTCTTAATATACCTAGAATCTTAAAAAAATATTTTCCCATGTCATTCATATTGAAGTTTAAGAGAAACTCGATGAAGCTCTATAGAAACGATTGGATGATCAAAACAATCATAACCTTTTCCAGAAGGAAAAATCAAATATGTTAAGATTTCCCAAATACCCAATCATCTTATGTACATGGGAACATAAAGAGCTCCCTCAACTATCTTGCCTTTAAAAAAGGCTTTGGATATTTCAAACCTATGTTATCTAGATTTCTCTTGATAAAGCATTTTCAGGGTTTTGATCATTATCGAACACTGCCATATTTTCATGTTGCTTTTGCAATTCAAAGTTTATGGTAGCCAACATGAGGCATATAGTTTCTAAGGCGCCAATATGCTTCTTATAAGAATATCGTTCACTCGTATGAGCGAATATAGGCGTTTCCTCTTCGGGAACAAGCTTCTTTAAGTCACACAACTTTTTCATGTTTGAGGAAAATCCTCGAACTTCGGTGTTAATCCAAAATATTTATCCAACACAGTTTTCCTTTTTAAGAATTGTCTCAAAATATTTTTTAAGTCAGTAATTGTGAATATATAAGTATCATTAAAAATATATTCAATTAGGTCTTCACTTGAATGCGCTTCCACTATTTTACTCAAAACAAATGATCCTCAACATTTCAAATAAAAATTCCTGTTGGAAGACTTTCTAGTAGATTGAGATCCATATTTCACTTTGAGGTAAGTAAGTGGTAGGTAGATTACACAAGACTCTGTTATTTAGGTAGGAACTCCTTTCAAATTTATTTAATATAACTCTCTAATTTTATCAGTTGGGTGAACAACTCCTTATTCTAACCCAACATATGGGTTGTTCTCAACTCATGCTTCTAACCATATATTCTTATTCTAATTAGTTTAGTTAAGTCAAACCCAAAATTTAGTAATTGATTATTACATTTATGTCATTGCACATGAGTGATATAGAATATGCACCTCGAGGTGCGGAAAATCAACATTATTTGATTCTAGTATTGATGAATGCTTAATTTTGGAAAGCTTAAACATAACATTTATTTTGATGGAATTTGCAGATGCGGTTATGGGTTGGATAAATGTTAGTTGTCAGATTTTTTCAATCTCTTGAATGAATTTTTCATGCATGACGTTGCATTTTTTTTGAAGATAGGACAACTTTTTCGGTTTTCAACGTGAGCTGCATAAATACAATTACAGTGGAAAACATAAAGACATTGGCTTACTAATGCAAAAAATAAAAACCATTCGCCCATCCCACTATAAGAGTCAGGCATATGCAATTGATATGCAACCATAAAAAAATATTTGCATACCAGTAAGTTTTACGCTTGCAATTTTTTCGTTTTCATACTGAATATCCTTCGATTCATGCAATTCGTTTCACCTACAACTTATAACTTGATTTTTTTTCTTCTTTTATTTTTAGTTCGATTATTTATGTTAATTTAGTTGTTTGCATATTATTTTTCATTGTTTCCTGTTTTTATTGAAATTGTTTCATGTCCATCCTTTTCCAAAGTATCTCATGTTATTGATGATTTTATTATAGGCAATCCAAAATGTCTCGAAGATTCGATAAAAAGTAGCAACCCTAAACAATTTCCACTATCAGAATCAGAATCGTTGGCTGCATCCATTTGAAAAAGGATATGCTTTGTTTATACAATTAGGTTTTAATTTTAATTATGTATATGCAAACAAAATCATTTTTGTTATTTCTGTCTTTATTCTTATTTGCAACTTATAAATTATATTTGAGCTTTAAATCCTACATGTTCTCTGTATCCTTTACTCTTTCCTTAAATTATCCATACTTTTTGGTTTGCAACACAAAATATTTATGATATGTTCTCTACTTTTAATAATAATTTATTTTACAACTATTTATTTTCAACCATTGTGTTTTGTTCTAGGTTTTTCTGGGTTTTACTTATCTTCTTCACTGTGATCTGAAATAATCCCCATTGTGTATTTTATGTTTTGAAGCTTTTTAGATATTTTTCTTCTCATTATGTTTTGATTTCTCATTATGTTTTTATTTTAACAAACAAATCCAGAAGTTTAACAATTTGGTTTTAGGGACCAAAACTACAAGTTTAACAATCCGACTTTGTTGTTACGGGAAAATTGGAGTTGCTTTATTGCTTTATGGATGAAATTGGTGTTATTGTTATAAGAATACATTTGCTTTATTTGTTTCAAATGGATGTTAGATTAAATTTGAATTGCTTCAAATTTGAATTTCTATTATTGTTATAAAAATACTATTAATTTTGTTATAGAGAAACGAATGTAGTTTATGGCTTTATTATTTCATGAAAGTGATGCTTCTATGAGAATGATTTCATGGCTTTATTACGAGAATGGTTGCATTAGTTTGTGGCTTTATGGCTTTAGAAGAATGGTTTTATTACTTTGTGGCCTTATCTTTGATTCTGTTACTGTTATGAGAATTGATTTATTGTTGTTGGTGCATCAAAGCTACACAAATAATTTAGGTTTTATGAGAATTGTTCTATAGAAAAGTATGGTTCTTATTGCATCAAGTGTAGATATATCATTTAGAGGTTCTTTTTTGTACAGAAAAATATGAATCAGATAAAATTGTTGTTGACATTCTATTATGTTAAATTGATTATTTTTCAAGAGAAAAGCGTGTGAAATTAAAAACAACAAATAGATGAGGAAATTGCTTTTAGGTTCATTCAACAAAAGATATGTTAGATAGTAATAAGCGTAATAGTGGTAAGTTAGGATTTTGGAAATATAAATTAATAAAAAATAAAGTAATAAATGTAAAATAACGTTAATGATACCTATTTTCATAGGTTATAAAGTACCGATGCATCTTTTCACATTCTTAATCATGTCTGTCCCAACGCAGTTTAGAATGTGTATCATTCATCATTTATTTTTGTTGTTGTTAGTCTTATCTTATTTTTCTTTTGGATTTGTATTATATTGTATATTTCTATAGATAGTTAAAAATTTCATTTGTTATTTATTTATTATATAGAAATTAGTTTTTGTTTCTACACAAATTATATATTTGATGTCACTCATTTTAACTTTAATTTTTGTTTCTCTTTTTATATGAGATTTGAAAAACAAACTTGATAAATAAATTGAGTTTTATTCCAGGAGGATCACTTTGCAATCACATTTTGGTTAAGAATAAATATATATGGTTCTTTTTTTGGACATATATGTGTTAATCAATTTATCTAGATTAATTATCTACAAAAGCAGAGTATCGTGCAATGGCTTCTACCACTGTTGAAAATAGTTTGGCTGCGTCGGTTACTCTCTGATATGTGCGTCTTACTTTCTTGACCGACTCCTATGTATTGTGATAATAAGAGTGCCATTCAAATTGCTCAAAACTCAATATATCATGGTACAAAACACATCGAGATTGATTGTCATCTCACTCTTCATCACTTTCAGCATGGCACCATTACTTTGCCGTTTGTTTTTTCAACTTCACATGTTGCTGATTTATTCACAAAAACTCATTCCATCAAACGTTTTTCCTTTCTTGGTTGACAAACTCTCAATGTTTCATGAATCATGAGTTTGAAGGGAGATTTTAGATAATGAGAAATGTGATTTTATAATAATTGGGCTAAGAGTATTATAGTCTATTTATACTTTACAAAATATTAACTTAGCAAGCCTTGTATTTGATACTTTTTGCCATTCTAATGGAAACCCTAGCCGCTTTCTCCTTTTCACTATTCATAATATTTACAATCACAACTCACCTCTTTCATGGAGACCAGAAAGATCTAAAATATATTTGTATAATACTCATGAGTGTAACTTTTACAATAATACACGAGTTATATTTATAGGATATAAATATTACAATTTAAAAGCATAATATAAACCTAGAAATTTTTGTTAAATGAACATCTAGAAATACATTCATAGTAAAATTACATACAATAATAAATGATTATTTAACACTTTACAATTGAATACACAAGAAAAACATAAATAAATAAAAGAATAAGTTTAATAATGAAGTTGAAAACTAAACACAACATTTAATTAATAGCAATAGCAATTGATTGTTTGCGATGAAGAAAGAATTTGTAAAATTAGTTGGGAGCACTGCAAATACTTCTTATGATTCCGGCAGATCCAGTTAATGGTTGAATATCTCCCATCTTGATCATAGCAGCAGCAAAATCAGACTTGAAAGCTGTAGGATTTTGGCTGTATTGAGAAACGATAGAATCCGTAGATCCTCCGCTGAAAAGAACTTGGTCAGATTGTAGAAGACCCTTCTTTTGAATTAAATTCTTAAAGTAGTTGTTGTCAAAAGAATTTGGTGTAACCAAGTCCAGTGCTGCTAACTTTTGATTGTTTGAAGTGGAACTGGTAGACGGACAACCACGTTGGCGAGTGCTAGCGAATCCAGCATCTATGTCACTAGCATTGTTGTATATCCTATCACGAAATGTAAAGCATTGAGCTTGTCCGATTGTGTGCGCACCTAATTTAAAATCAAATGGTCGTTCAATATTAATTTTTCATATAAGTAAATGTTTGGTGAAATATAAAAATATGCATGTTTGAAACAAATGAAATTTACCAGATAGAGTAACCATGTCTTTGGCGGTAAGATCTTTAATTGTAAATTTAGATATAAGAGTTTGAAGATCGTCCGTAAATAATGGAAGGTGAGTATTGGCCAAAGTTTTACTTGCTGTAGTAGAGTCTCTTCGTCCAAGTTTGACAGTCCATGATGGACCACCTACCTGTTTGTAAATATCAAATTATTAATATACACATCAAAATACTAGTATATTAAGCATGATATGCAAATTGTAAACTTACATCAAAAGGATGTAATATTAAGCATGCAATGCAAATCAAAAGGATGTAATATTAAGCATGCAATGCAAATCAAAAGGATGTAATATTAAGCATGCAATGCAAATCAAAAGGATGTAATATTAAGCATGCAATGCAAATCAAAAGGATGTAATATTAAGCATGCAATGCAAATCAAAAGGATGTAATATTAAGCATGCAATGCAAATTGTAAACTTACAGCGAATGATGCATCACGTGCTGCTACAGCTACTATGTCTGCACAAGACACAACTCCTGGACATACTTTTTCTACCTGTGATTTTGCATTATCAATGACTTGAAATCCCCTTACTGAGTTAAGATTTGGAAGTGCAGTCTTTTCGCTCTCGATTGTGGTACTGTCATTCAGCAAAATTGATGCATCACAGCCTTGCACAAAGCAGTCATGAAAATGAAGGCGAATGAGAGATGCAGCCATGCGACGCTCTTTAGAGACAGCAGTACGAATGGCAGTTCTAATGGTGGTTAGTGCATCGGGGCATGTAGTGTCGTAAAATGTAGAAGACAACTGTGCATCACATATTGTGGATAGCAGCACTAATGTAACAACAAAACTAGTAGTGATCATTCTATAAGCCATGTAACTTAAGTGTTGATGATTGAACTTGATGTGAAATGAAGAGACGATATCATGCATATATATATATATAGTTTGTTGTGTATGGTCACTCATGTCCGCGGCTTGCTAATTCGCTCCTCAACATTTTCCTTATTCACAATTCTGACCAATTCTCCTTTGGTTGGTTGGTTCACAAATACTATTTAATACTAACTACTTCATCACATCCATGCCATCTCTACGTGAATAAACACTTTTCAATATTTTCCTTTGAATAATATTATTTATTATTTATAACAATGCAAGAGTCAAAATCTATTATTTATTATAACAATTGACAAGTTCCATTTTCTTATTTGATTCATTCTCTCACATTTCACATTTATATTTATAGAAAAGTATTTCATGACAACCACATAACATCTTGAGACGGATTTTTTTTATATATTTTATTTTTGAGAATGTGATGTAATATGTAACACTCTTTTTTTATTTTTTTATTTGTGGGACTAATTTTTTCTTTCTAAAGTGGACTAGTGTATTTTTTAGAGACTATGTTAAATACTCATTTTATAAAATGTGATGATTATTAGGTAAACAAGTTAAAATTGCAGATTAATATGGTTTATAGAAATTATGAGAAAGTTTTGTGTTAACGATTTCTCAGACCAAATATTATTATTGGTTTGATACTATTATGGGTAAAAATTCGTTAAAGATGGACACACTTTTTGTAATTTAAATACTCTTTTGGTCTCATTTATTTTATAAGTGAGCACCATGAATTCTAAATTAGATATCAAAGAGTTTACTAGGGACAACAATTTTGAATTGTGGAAAGAGATGATGCAAGTAATCTTAATTCAACAGAACTGTGTTGAACCATTGGAGGATGAGGCATCAATGGATGCAAATCTAACACGAGCAGATGACTGTTGCTTAAATATGGGCAAAGATTCAACCATTGCATATGACCAAATCTTTGGCTAACATGTTGTGTGTGTGACAACAACTTTCCTCATTTTGAATGGTAGTGAAAAAAATCCATGGTCGGGAAATTGACTAAATTTCGAAAGATTATTGATGATCTGCAGAGTATTTAGTTGAAAATTGATGGCGAAGACAAGAATACACTCTTGTTAGAATAAGAATTATTAATTTAGGTGAAGCCCATACGAATGTGAGACCCACGTATCTTTAATTGATAAAATATTTGAAGGTTGATAATAGTGGTAAAAACGTAAGTGTCTCAAGAGGAGGGAGTGGGAGAAGAGGAATGTCCAAATTTAAGAGTTTTGACAAGTCATGGTTAAATTTTTTTTATTTTCGATAAACTACTCACTTCACAAATACAATTTTTATTGACTTTGTTGAGTACTTATATTTATAAATACGATGGTTAGCTAAACACGTTAAAATTGAAGAATAGAATGGTTTATAACAATAAGAAGAATGAATATATGAAATAAATAGAAGAATTCATGCACTTCATACCCAATTAAGGTAAATGAAGGTGAAGTTCAAAACACCACCACGACAATGTCGAGACCTTTTCTCAGTCTATTAGACAACCTCGAGATGAACATCCCAGCAATCCATATTCCTTACATATTTAAAAGTAGAGAAAGGGGTCAATTGGAGACACATTTGGCTATGAATGTTCTCAGAAGCCAATATGCAGAAAGCATTAATGAAAGCACATAATATAGTTGAAAACATTATAGAAATATACACAAATTGAGATTGAGACAAAGACATTGTCATAACTCCTAAGTATTAGATTCATATTTAAAAAAAAAGGATTTGGAACAAACTGCACAGTCGAAGAAGACAAAATTAACACGCACAAAATAAGAAAATTTAGAAATAAATCAACTAAAATAAGATGCCCGTCTACAACAGATTTCTCCATACGTCTGCTCCGTTAGTAAAAAAAAAGAATTCTAGGGTTGAGTAAGATGACCTTCTCTAGAGTGTTGTCAAAGGCCTCCTTAGTAGCAACAAGTAGATCATTAACAACTTGGGCACCTATTTTTCACCGAGATGTATAGTGGTTCGGGTCAATCATCTTCGCAGGAGCCTACTCTACTCTCCAATGATTTTCCTTTGAAAGATTTTCTTCCAATATGTTTTGACAAATATTATTCGAGTTCATACAATCAACATTCCACAATAATTCTGAGTTACATAAATATCCTATCTGGATCTTGAGTTGTATACAACATAATTTCAAATTCTTCTACAAAATATTTACATGATTCTCGCTTCTTGAATCTTCCAGCTTCACCAATCTTCTCCAAGTCTCTGTGAGTGAAAATCACTTATGAACCTACTGATTTCTTGAGCGATGAACTTTCCAAAGATTTAGAAGAACTCATACCTTGTCTATAGGCTTCTACACCGCAGTACCAAGGTTAACCTGGAGAGAAGAACCTCATTTTTTTCAATGGAATTCGTCACTACAACAACTACAATCTTTCAAGCTTCCTGAAAACATTTATAAAACCTTCAAGAACGCTTAGTTTCAATAATTACAAATCTTCATAATCAAGATCTGAAATCTAGCTAGAGGTGTGTGTGTGTGTGTGTGCCTATGTGTGTGTGTGTGTGATACACCATATATTAATTTTTTTTATACATTTAACAACTACTACAAAATAATAAACTACATTAATATATTATTGAATATTTATTTAATATTTTGTTGACTTTGCTCGACCCGTGCAAACGCACGAGTCTCTTACTAGTTCTTAATATACCTAGAATCTTAAAAAAATATTTTCCCATGTCATTCATATTGAAGTTTAAGAGAAACTCGATGAAGCTCTATAGAAACGATTGGATGATCAAAACAATCATAACCTTTTCCAGAAGGAAAAATCAAATATGTTAAGATTTCCCAAATACCCAATCATCTTATGTACATGGGAACATAAAGAGCTCCCTCAACTATCTTGCCTTTAAAAAAGGCTTTGGATATTTCAAACCTATGTTATCTAGATTTCTCTTGATAAAGCATTTTCAGGGTTTTGATCATTATCGAACACTGCCATATTTTCATGTTGCTTTTGCAATTCAAAGTTTATGGTAGCCAACATGAGGCATATAGTTTCTAAGGCGCCAATATGCTTCTTATAAGAATATCGTTCACTCGTATGAGCGAATATAGGCGTTTCCTCTTCGGGAACAAGCTTCTTTAAGTCACACAACTTTTTCATGTTTGAGGAAAATCCTCGAACTTCGGTGTTAATCCAAAATATTTATCCAACACAGTTTTCCTTTTTAAGAATTGTCTCAAAATATTTTTTAAGTCAGTAATTGTGAATATATAAGTATCATTAAAAATATATTCAATTAGGTCTTCACTTGAATGCGCTTCCACTATTTTACTCAAAACAAATGATCCTCAACATTTCAAATAAAAATTCCTGTTGGAAGACTTTCTAGTAGATTGAGATCCATATTTCACTTTGAGGTAAGTAAGTGGTAGGTAGATTACACAAGACTCTGTTATTTAGGTAGGAACTCCTTTCAAATTTATTTAATATAACTCTCTAATTTTATCAGTTGGGTGAACAACTCCTTATTCTAACCCAACATATGGGTTGTTCTCAACTCATGCTTCTAACCATATATTCTTATTCTAATTAGTTTAGTTAAGTCAAACCCAAAATTTAGTAATTGATTATTACATTTATGTCATTGCACATGAGTGATATAGAATATGCACCTCGAGGTGCGGAAAATCAACATTATTTGATTCTAGTATTGATGAATGCTTAATTTTGGAAAGCTTAAACATAACATTTATTTTGATGGAATTTGCAGATGCGGTTATGGGTTGGATAAATGTTAGTTGTCAGATTTTTTCAATCTCTTGAATGAATTTTTCATGCATGACGTTGCATTTTTTTTGAAGATAGGACAACTTTTTCGGTTTTCAACGTGAGCTGCATAAATACAATTACAGTGGAAAACATAAAGACATTGGCTTACTAATGCAAAAAATAAAAACCATTCGCCCATCCCACTATAAGAGTCAGGCATATGCAATTGATATGCAACCATAAAAAAATATTTTCATACCAGTAAGTTTTACGCTTGCAATTTTTTCGTTTTCATACTGAATATCCTTCGATTCATGCAATTCGTTTCACCTACAACTTATAACTTGATTTTTTTTCTTCTTTTATTTTTAGTTCGATTATTTATGTTAATTTAGTTGTTTGCATATTATTTTTCATTGTTTCCTGTTTTTATTGAAATTGTTTCATGTCCATCCTTTTCCAAAGTATCTCATGTTATTGATGATTTTATTATAGGCAATCCAAAATGTCTCGAAGATTCGATAAAAAGTAGCAACCCTAAACAATTTCCACTATCAGAATCAGAATCGTTGGCTGCATCCATTTGAAAAAGGATATGCTTTGTTTATACAATTAGGTTTTAATTTTAATTATGTATATGAAAACAAAATCATTTTTGTTATTTCTGTCTTTATTCTTATTTGCAACTTATAAATTATATTTGAGCTTTAAATCCTACATGTTCTCTGTATCCTTTACTCTTTCCTTAAATTATCCATACTTTTTGGTTTGCAACACAAAATATTTATGATATGTTCTCTACTTTTAATAATAATTTATTTTACAACTATTTATTTTCAACCATTGTGTTTTGTTCTAGGTTTTTCTGGGTTTTACTTATCTTCTTCACTGTGATCTGAAATAATCCCCATTGTGTATTTTATGTTTTGAAGCTTTTTAGATATTTTTCTTCTCATTATGTTTTGATTTCTCATTATGTTTTTATTTTAACAAACAAATCCAGAAGTTTAACAATTTGGTTTTAGGGACCAAAACTACAAGTTTAACAATCCGACTTTGTTGTTACGGGAAAATTGGAGTTGCTTTATTGCTTTATGGATGAAATTGGTGTTATTGTTATAAGAATACATTTGCTTTATTTGTTTCAAATGGATGTTAGATTAAATTTGAATTGCTTCAAATTTGAATTTCTATTATTGTTATAAAAATACTATTAATTTTGTTATAGAGAAACGAATGTAGTTTATGGCTTTATTATTTCATGAAAGTGATGCTTCTATGAGAATGATTTCATGGCTTTATTACGAGAATGGTTGCATTAGTTTGTGGCTTTATGGCTTTAGAAGAATGGTTTTATTACTTTGTGGCCTTATCTTTGATTCTGTTACTGTTATGAGAATTGATTTATTGTTGTTGGTGCATCAAAGCTACACAAATAATTTAGGTTTTATGAGAATTGTTCTATAGAAAAGTATGGTTCTTATTGCATCAAGTGTAGATATATCATTTAGAGGTTCTTTTTTGTACAGAAAAATATGAATCAGATAAAATTGTTGTTGACATTCTATTATGTTAAATTGATTATTTTTCAAGAGAAAAGCGTGTGAAATTAAAAACAACAAATAGATGAGGAAATTGCTTTTAGGTTCATTCAACAAAAGATATGTTAGATAGTAATAAGCGTAATAGTGGTAAGTTAGGATTTTGGAAATATAAATTAATAAAAATTAAAGTAATAAATGTAAAATAACGTTAATGATACCTATTTTCATAGGTTATAAAGTACCGATGCATCTTTTCACATTCTTAATCATGTCTGTCCCAACGCAGTTTAGAATGTGTATCATTCATCATTTATTTTTGTTGTTGTTAGTCTTATCTTATTTTTCTTTTGGATTTGTATTATATTGTATATTTCTATAGATAGTTAAAAATTTCATTTGTTATTTATTTATTATATAGAAATTAGTTTTTGTTTCTACACAAATTATATATTTGATGTCACTCATTTTAACTTTAATTTTTGTTTCTCTTTTTATATGAGATTTGAAAAACAAACTTGATAAATAAATTGAGTTTTATTCCAGGAGGATCACTTTGCAATCACATTTTGGTTAAGAATAAATATATATGGTTCTTTTTTTGGACATATATGTGTTAATCAATTTATCTAGATTAATTATCTACAAAAGCAGAGTATCGTGCAATGGCTTCTACCACTGTTGAAAATAGTTTGGCTGCGTCGGTTACTCTCTGATATGTGCGTCTTACTTTCTTGACCGACTCCTATGTATTGTGATAATAAGAGTGTCATTCAAATTGCTCAAAACTCAATATATCATGGTACAAAACACATCGAGATTGATTGTCATCTCACTCTTCATCACTTTCAGCATGGCACCATTACTTTGCCGTTTGTTTTTTCAACTTCACATGTTGCTGATTTATTCACAAAAACTCATTCCATCAAACGTTTTTCCTTTCTTGGTTTACAAACTCTCAATGTTTCATGAATCATGAGTTTGAAGGGAGATTTTAGATAATGAGAAATGTGATTTTATAATAATTGGGCTAAGAGTATTATAGTCTATTTATACTTTACAAAATATTAACTTAGCAAGCCTTGTATTTGATACTTTTTGCCATTCTAATGGAAACCCTAGCCGCTTTCTCCTTTTCACTATTCATAATATTTACAATCACAACTCACCTCTTTCATGGAGACCAGAAAGATCTAAAATATATTTGTATAATACTCATGAGTGTAACTTTTACAATAATACACGAGTTATATTTATAGGATATAAATATTACAATTTAAAAGCATAATATAAACCTAGAAATTTTTGTTAAATGAACATCTAGAAATACATTCATAGTAAAATTACATACAATAATAAATGATTATTTAACACTTTACAATTGAATACACAAGAAAAACATAAATAAATAAAAGAATAAGTTTAATAATGAAGTTGAAAACTAAACACAACATTTAATTAATAGCAATAGCAATTGATTGTTTGCGATGAAGAAAGAATTTGTAAAATTAGTTGGGAGCACTGCAAATACTTCTTATGATTCCGGCAGATCCAGTTAATGGTTGAATATCTCCCATCTTGATCATAGCAGCAGCAAAATCAGACTTGAAAGCTGTAGGATTTTGGCTGTATTGAGAAACGATAGAATCCGTAGATCCTCCGCTGAAAAGAACTTGGTCAGATTGTAGAAGACCCTTCTTTTGAATTAAATTCTTAAAGTAGTTGTTGTCAAAAAGAATTTGGTGTAACCAAGTCCAGTGCTGCTAACTTTTGATTGTTTGAAGTGGAACTGGTAGACGGACAACCACGTTGGCGAGTGCTAGCGAATCCAGCATCTATGTCACTAGCATTGTTGTATATCCTATCACGAAATGTAAAACATTGAGCTTGTCCGATTGTGTGCGCACCTAATTTAAAATCAAATGGTCGTTCAATATTAATTTTTCATATAAGTAAATGTTTGGTGAAATATAAAAATATGCATGTTTGAAACAAATGAAATTTACCAGATAGAGTAACCATGTCTTTGGCGGTAAGATCTTTAATTGTAAATTTAGATATAAGAGTTTGAAGATCGTCCGTAAATAATGGAAGGTGAGTATTGGCCAAAGTTTTACTTGCTGTAGTAGAGTCTCTTCGTCCAAGTTTGACAGTCCATGATGGACCACCTACCTGTTTGTAAATATCAAATTATTAATATACACATCAAAATACTAGTATATTAAGCATGATATGCAAATTGTAAACTTACATCAAAAGGATGTAATATTAAGCATGCAATGCAAATCAAAAGGATGTAATATTAAGCATGCAATGCAAATCAAAAGGATGTAATATTAAGCATGCAATGCAAATCAAAAGGATGTAATATTAAGCATGCAATGCAAATCAAAAGGATGTAATATTAAGCATGCAATGCAAATCAAAAGGATGTAATATTAAGCATGCAATGCAAATTGTAAACTTACAGCGAATGATGCATCACGTGCTGCTACAGCTACTATGTCTGCACAAGACACAACTCCTGGACATACTTTTTCTACCTGTGATTTTGCATTATCAATGACTTGAAATCCCCTTACTGAGTTAAGATTTGGAAGTGCAGTCTTTTCGCTCTCGATTGTGGTACTGTCATTCAGCAAAATTGATGCATCACAGCCTTGCACAAAGCAGTCATGAAAATGAAGGCGAATGAGAGATGCAGCCATGCGACGCTCTTTAGAGACAGCAGTACGAATGGCAGTTCTAATGGTGGTTAGTGCATCGGGGCATGTAGTGTCGTAAAATGTAGAAGACAACTGTGCATCACATATTGTGGATAGCAGCACTAATGTAACAACAAAACTAGTAGTGATCATTCTATAAGCCATGTAACTTAAGTGTTGATGATTGAACTTGATGTGAAATGAAGAGACGATATCATGCATATATATATATATAGTTTGTTGTGTATGGTCACTCATGTCCGCGGCTTGCTAATTCGCTCCTCAACATTTTCCTTATTCACAATTCTGACCAATTCTCCTTTGGTTGGTTGGTTCACAAATACTATTTAATACTAACTACTTCATCACATCCATGCCATCTCTACGTGAATAAACACTTTTCAATATTTTCCTTTGAATAATATTATTTATTATTTATAACAATGCAAGAGTCAAAATCTATTATTTATTATAACAATTGACAAGTTCCATTTTCTTATTTGATTCATTCTCTCACATTTCACATTTATATTTATAGAAAAGTATTTCATGACAACCACATAACATCTTGAGACGGATTTTTTTTATATATTTTATTTTTGAGAATGTGATGTAATATGTAACACTCTTTTTTTATTTTTTTATTTGTGGGACTAATTTTTTCTTTCTAAAGTGGACTAGTATATTTTTTAGAGACTATGTTAAATACTCATTTTATAAAATGTGATGATTATTAGGTAAACAAGTTAAAATTGCAGATTAATATGGTTTATAGAAATTATGAGAAAGTTTTGTGTTAACGATTTCTCAGACCAAATATTATTATTGGTTTGATACTATTATGGGTAAAAATTCGTTAAAGATGGACACACTTTTTGTAATTTAAATACTCTTTTGGTCTCATTTATTTTATAAGTGAGCACCATGAATTCTAAATTAGATATCAAAGAGTTTACTAGGGACAACAATTTTGAATTGTGGAAAGAGATGATGCAAGTAATCTTAATTCAACAGAACTGTGTTGAACCATTGGAGGATGAGGCATCAATGGATGCAAATCTAACACGAGCAGATGACTGTTGCTTAAATATGGGCAAAGATTCAACCATTGCATATGACCAAATCTTTGGCTAACATGTTGTGTGTGTGACAACAACTTTCCTCATTTTGAATGGTAGTGAAAAAAATCCATGGTCGGGAAATTGACTAAATTTCGAAAGATTATTGATGATCTGCAGAGTATTTAGTTGAAAATTGATGGCGAAGACAAGAATACACTCTTGTTAGAATAAGAATTATTAATTTAGGTGAAGCCCATACGAATGTGAGACCCACGTATCTTTAATTGATAAAATATTTGAAGGTTGATAATAGTGGTAAAAACGTAAGTGTCTCAAGAGGAGGGAGTGGGAGAAGAGGAATGTCCAAATTTAAGAGTTTTGACAAGTCATGGTTAAATTTTTTTTATTTTCGATAAACTACTCACTTCACAAATACAATTTTTATTGACTTTGTTGAGTACTTATATTTATAAATACGATGGTTAGCTAAACACGTTAAAATTGAAGAATAGAATGGTTTATAACAATAAGAAGAATGAATATATGAAATAAATAGAAGAATTCATGCACTTCATACCCAATTAAGGTAAATGAAGGTGAAGTTCAAAACACCACCACGACAATGTCGAGACCTTTTCTCAGTCTATTAGACAACCTCGAGATGAACATCCCAGCAATCCATATTCCTTACATATTTAAAAGTAGAGAAAGGGGTCAATTGGAGACACATTTGGCTATGAATGTTCTCAGAAGCCAATATGCAGAAAGCATTAATGAAAGCACATAATATAGTTGAAAACATTATAGAAATATACACAAATTGAGATTGAGACAAAGACATTGTCATAACTCCTAAGTATTAGATTCATATTTAAAAAAAAAGGATTTGGAACAAACTGCACAGTCGAAGAAGACAAAATTAACACGCACAAAATAAGAAAATTTAGAAATAAATCAACTAAAATAAGATGCCCATCTACAACAGATTTCTCCATACGTCTGCTCCGTTAGTAAAAAAAAAGAATTCTAGGGTTGAGTAAGATGACCTTCTCTAGAGTGTTGTCAAAGGCCTCCTTAGTAGCAACAAGTAGATCATTAACAACTTGGGCACCTATTTTTCACCGAGATGTATAATGGTTCGGGTCAATCATCTTCGCAGGAGCCTACTCTACTCTCCAATGATTTTCCTTTGAAAGATTTTCTTCCACTATGTTTTGACAAATATTATTCGAGTTCATACAATCAACATTCCATAATAATTCCGAGTTACATAAATATCCTATCTGGATCTTGAGTTGTATACAACATAATTTCAAATTCTTCTACAAAATATTTACATGATTCTCGCTTCTTGAATCTTCCAGCTTCACCAATCTTCTCCAAGTCTCTGTGAGTGAAAATCACTTATGAACCTACTGATTTCTTGAGCGATGAACTTTCCAAAGATTTAGAAGAACTCATACCTTGTCTATAGGCTTCTACACCGCAGTACCAAGGTTAACCTGGAGAGAAGAACCTCAATTTTTTCAATGGAATTCGTCACTACAACAACTACAATCTTTCAAGCTTCCTGAAAACATTTATAAAACCTTCAAGAACGCTTAGTTTCAATAATTACAAATCTTCATAATCAAGATCTGAAATCTAGCTAGAGGTGTGTGTGTGTGTGTGCCTATGTGTGTGTGTGTGTGTGCGCCTATATGTGTGTGTGTATGATACACCATATATTAATATTTTTTTTACATTTAACAACTACTACAAAATAATAAACTACATTAATATATTATTGAATATTTATTTAATATTTTGTTGACTTTGCTCGACCCGTGCAAACGCACGAGTCTCTTACTAGTTCTTAATATACCTAGAATCTTAAAAAAATATTTTCCCATGTCATTCATATTGAAGTTTAAGAGAAACTCGATGAAGCTCTATAGAAACGATTGGATGATCAAAACAATCATAACCTTTTCCAGAAGGAAAAATCAAATATGTTAAGATTTCCCAAATACCCAATCATCTTATGTACATGGGAACATAAAGAGCTCCCTCAACTATCTTGCCTTTAAAAAAGGCTTTGGATATTTCAAACCTATGTTATCTAGATTTCCCTTGATAAAGCATCCTCAGGGTTTTGATCATTATCGAACACTGCCATATTTTCATGTTGCTTTTGCAATTCAAAGTTTATGGTAGCCAACATGAGGCATATAGTTTCTAAGGCGTCAATATGCTTCTTATAAGAATATCGTTCACTCGTATGAGCGAATATAGGCGTTTCCTCTTTGGGAACAAGCTTCTTTAAGTCACACAACTTTTTCATGTTTGAGGACAATCCTCGAACTTCGGTGTTAATCCAAAAAATTTATCCAACACAGTTTTCCTTTTTAAGAATTGTCTCAAAATATTTTTTAAGTCAGTAATTGTGAATATATAAGTATCATTAAAAATATATTCAATTAGGTCTTCACTTGAATGCGCTTCCACTATTTTACTCAAAACAAATGATCCTCAACATTTCGAATAAAAATTCCTGTTGGAAGACTTTCTAAGAGAATGAGATCCATATTTCACTTTGAGGTAAGTAAGTGGTAGGTAGATTACACAAGACTCTGTTATTTAGGTAGGAACTCCTTTCAATTTTATCTAATATAACTCTCTAATTTTATTATTTGGGTGAACTACTCCTTATTCTAACCCAACATATGGGTTATTCTCAACTCATGCTTCTAAATATATATTCTTATTCTAATTAGTTTAGTTAAGTTAAACCCAAAGTTTAGTAATTGATTATTACATTTATGTCATTGCACACGAGTGATATAGAATATGCACCTCGAGGTGCGGAAAATCAACATTATTTGATTCTAGTATTGATGAATGCTAAATATTGGAAAGCTTAAAAATAACATTTATTTTGATGGAATTTGCACATCGGTTATGGGTTGGATAAACGTTAGTTGTCAGATTTTTTCAATCTCTTGAATGACTTTTCATGCATGATGTTGTGTTTTTTTGGAAGACAGGACAACTTTTTCCGTTTTCAACGTGAGCTGCATAAATACAATTACAGTGAAAAACATAAAGACATTGGCTTACTAATGGAAAAAATAAAAACCATTCGTCCATCCCACTATAAGAGTCAGGCATATGCAATTGATATGCAACCATAAAAAAATATTTGCATACCAGTAAGTTTTACGCTTGCAATTTTTTCGTTTTCATACTGAATATCCTTCGATTCATGCATTTCGTTTCACCTACAACTTATAACTCGATTTTTTTTCTTCTTTTATTTTTAGTTCGATTATTTATGTTAATTTAGTTGTTTGCATATTATTTTTCATTGTTTCCTGTTTTTATTGAAATTGTTTCATGTCCATCCTTTTCCAAAGTATCTCATGTTATTGATGATTTTGTTATAGGCAATCCAAAATGTCTCGAAGATTTGATAAAAAGTAGCAACCCTAAACAATTTCCACTATCAGAATCAGAATCGTTGGCTGCATCCATTTGAAAAAGGATATGCTTTGTTTATACAATTAGGTTTTAATTTTAATTATGTATATGCAAACAAAATCATTTTTGTTATTTCTGTCTTTATTCTTATTTGCAACTTATAAATTATATTTGAGCTTTAAATCCTACATGTTCTCTGTATCCTTTACTCTTTCCTTAAATTATCCATACTTTTTGGTTTGCAACACAAAATGTTTATGATATGTTCTCTACTTTTAATAATAATTTATTTTACAACTATTTATTTTCAACCATTGTGTTTTGTTCTAGGTTTTTCTGGGTTTTACTTATCTTCTTCACTGTGATCTGAAATAATCTCCATTGTGTATTTTATGTTTTGAAGCTTTTTAGATATTTTTCTTCTCATTATGTTTTGATTTCTCATTATGTTTTTATTTTAACAAACAAATCCAGAAGTTTAACAATTTGGTTTTAGGGACCAAAACTACAAGTTTAACAATCCGACTTTGTTGTTACGGGAAAATTGGAGTTGCTTTATTGCTTTATGGATGAAATTGGTGTTATTGTTATAAGAATACATTTGCTTTATTTGTTTCAAATGGATGTTAGATTAAATTTGAATTG